ACACAAAATGAAACACGCTTTTTCATCAGATTGACCAGTTGTTATGTTGAAATGACTAAAACTTCCAATAGCTATTTTTTTTTGCTACTTGGGGACAGCAGAACCAAGCTGTGTGTGTTACTGAGATATCATCAACAGATGCTTATTTACACACCCAGAGGAACACTATCGTTCATTTGGAGTTGCGTTTCTGGCCACCTGGCAAATGTAAGTCCAATATTCACTCTCCTTTTAGCTCCATTTGTGATCTCTACCAACTTCTTATGAAAATATCTGGCTCTTTTGCTTCTAAATCCTCCACTGTGTTCACCAACTAGTCACTAACTTTGTCCGTCTGGTCTGTGGTGCTGGGCAGTTTGTGCACAATGGGTGTTTAGACCTTTTTTACAGAAAAAAGTAAACCAAAACAGGCTAAAAAGCTACATAGAGCTAATGGAAACTGCTGAGGAAAATTATCCGTGGGTTCATCACTTCCAGCGACACCTTTTACATACAAGTAGTCATGGGATCCATTGTTAATAGAGCTTTGATTGAGCTCAAGAATCAGGACTGACCTGAGCCCAAAAACATTCCTTGAGCCTGAACCAAACCTGAACCATGGAAGCAGTTTTGGGACCGAGCTCGACCTGGGCTACATTGTGCATATACTATAGTGCAAATAATTATCAAAACTAAGAAATTACAAATGAACTCATTAATTACAGTTGCATGCATTAATAATAAAATATTAAATATATATATTTTTTAAATTTAATTCTGTGTGAGCCCCACCCACGGCAACAGTTTGGGGTCCCATCGGGCTCGGGCAGAGAATCAAAGCTCTAAATTGTTAATATAACAAATTTGATTACAGTAGCTTTAAAATATTTTGTAACTATACAAGACTGGTTTCAATGCATAAGACACATCACTAATATCCGTAATTCTAAAATAGTTCAAGTTCATTCTAAAACAGTATAAATGAACCTACATAAGTGACTGTCAGTGTTGACAAATGATGTGTGTTTTTTATCCTTGAATCACATGTCCAAAGCAACAACTGAGGATATTGAGTTTAGAAAAAGTGCTCTTAATGTAAATAATAATTCTTGCTCCTCTAGTGAGTCATATACATTTATTTACTCACGGTGTACTAGCATTACATCTTTACTTAGGTGTCAACTGGTCATTAAAAGAATTATGTATATAAACGTACACACAGCTTCAGATACACATGCTGCGCATACAGCTGTGTGCAGCGATTGATCAAACGTGTTAAGCATTCAAACTATTAAAGCATCTTTCTGCACCTTTTGTTGTAAATCTCACTCATGGAGCAATAGTAAATTAAGGTTTACAACAGAGCAGGTTAAACCTACTGTGCTACAGCACAGAAAACATACAATATTTATGTCTGAACAGCATCATAAAAATCTCTATATCATGAGTTCAACTACTAGCATTCCCTGTAAGCAATGCACCCCAATTCCTTCTCGGTGATAAAGCAAGTTCAAAAAGGTAACAGACTCTCCCAATTTCATTCTCCTGCTTTTCCTTGCCGTTCCACTTTGCGATTGTTTAGATCAATTTTGCAGTGGATAATTTCTGCTGCGCTGCTCACTACCCTGGCATGAAATTGGCAGTGAGGTTGCCTTCAGTTTGCAGGAGAGAGGGAGAGGAGGAGAAGAGATGAATGAAAGAGAGGGAGAGTGAGTGAGAGAGGTAAAAAGAGAGAAGCACACAGAAGAGCTAGGGAGCCCCACAGGCAGTGTGCTGTTTTTAAACCAGGAATAATCAGCTGCATCACAGAAATACAAAAAGAGAGGGTCAAAAGGAACAAGGTAGAGTAGAGTCAAAGGCCTGAGGCACTCTTCACACACAAATACATCTGTTACTGGTGATTCAAAGATGTCACACCCCAGGATAACAGCACTGTCAAAAAGCATGTACATCACAGACTGAGAACTGGAACTACTTACTATGGCAACTGCACTTTACTGTTCACTGCACACCAGTATAGTGCACACACCGCCTCACTATGGCAACTCAGGAGGTAAACACACTTGTGACAGTGACTTTTTTTCATCAGGTGAACATAGGTGTTTATTTAACACTGTATTTGAGGCTGCACCTAAGTGGAGGGAAAAGTGAGGTGGGGGTGCAGTAATAATCAAGCAAAGCAGTGCAATTTTCTTGTCAAGAATTAAAGGGAATTTGTGCAGCCATATCCCACCAATGAGATCTAAAAGTGTGAGAAAATTGTACTTATATTCAAGTGAAGTAATATAACCAGCCTTTTTTGAGGCAAAGTTGGCCAGTTGAACTTATTTGAGTCTACATTATATTCAGCCATGGGG